CCACTTTGCACTCATGCCTCTCCAAAGGCAAAGGTAAAACATCTTTGTAAACTCTTTTGCTTTTTGAAAATTACTTCCTTCCACATACCACACAACGATTTTAAGACTTTGACTCTTCTATCCAAGTTACAGAGGGAAAAATGACAAGAAAGGTTGTCTCAAATACTCGATCTACTGTTGTTTTCCGACGCATTTTCACTCCACAATGATTAATCAGCGTTAAACCGACGCAGGCGCATACCAGCGGTTTCTCGCATGAAACAAAGATTCACAGAATACGCGCTAATAAAGTTCCCTTCTAAACCAGCCTGATTTTCGTGAAGAAAGGTTAATCATGAATCAGACGTTTGCTGAAGAATACGCGGAGTTAATAACCTTTGTCTACTATTGTAGTAATATTTCCCTTACAGCCGTCGTCTTTCTATTTGGAACCTGTTTCTTGTGGTACAGAGATCGGAAATACCAAAAAAGGAAGGACGACGAGGAAGGAAGAAACCATCAGAGGCGCGAATGGCGCAAGTTCGCGGAAAGAATGAACGATGATTACAGGAATCTGAGAAGTAACCAGACCCTTGAGAACATATTAAAGGTAAAGAAAACTTTCGAAGACTTGAAAGTTCATTCTAAAGTAACTGGCCTTGATGTTTTGAGATACTGGCTCGCTGATGATCGCCACCGAAATGTTTGGAGTGAGTCACCCCAGCTGAGGGCCCTTCGTGAAGACCTCCACACGATCTTCTTTCAGCTAAATTTCTGCTCTTCGTTGATCCATTTAGGAGAAGTGCCCAAAAATATAACGGAAGAATTACGATATGTAGTGGAGGAATTGGGGAATGTAGCAAAGCCTTTCTTAACAGGTGATAAACTAAAGGTCGCTTCGACATGCCTGAAACATTTTGGCAGGCCGGTGAAGAAACAAGAAGAAGATGAAGGAGGAGGAGGAGGAGGAGGAGAACGACGACTGGGACAAGGAGGAGGAAGAGGAGAAGAAGAAAGAGGAGGAGGAGACATACCAGGTGCAGAAACTAAAAGAGAAGAGCTTGATCAGTCAGTTGAAGAAATTGTTCCATATGTAAACAGCCTAAAGTTTGATGATGGGAGGAGGCCACCTACAAATGACAGGTCATCACGATTAGATTATAGCCAGTTGATCAAATTTTCGTTTAACGTGAGTATGCCAAACAACCATTATGTTTTCCTCGAGGGCCTCCATCATATTCTAGAAAAGGAAGAAAATAAGACCAGTTTGGCCAGAAACATCAGAGATCAACTAGCAGAGCTGCCTCTTAACTTGATTGACCCTTTCAGTGATGAGGATAGCAATGAGGATGTTATTGTAAAGGTGCTGCATGAGGCTCGTTATTATATCCATTATCTTCAGAACAACCAACCACTACCGGAGATTGATGGAATAAATGCAGTAGGTAATATGGAAAGACTACGTCAGCTTTTTGAAGAATTAAGGGCTTCACCAGGAAAAATTTGGACCCAAATGTTTCTTCGAAGGTGTGTAGATGATCTTAAACAATTTGCAGATAATCCTGGGGAACATCTTTGCAATAATGGATTTTTTAATGACTTTTGGAAGTTATGGCATCACCAAGTATTACCAAAGTTGAAAATGCCTTCTCAGCAAAATCAAAATGACACAGAGAACAGTGAGGTCTCATCAGATAATTCTCCTCATTCGTCTTTAGTACCTGATGGGGAGAACAATGAAGACCACTCAGTAAATCCTGATTGAGAAACTGACGTATGAAGTGTAAAAGATAGCATCATCAATTCCTGCATTTGACTATCAATTAAACATTATAGGAAAGATGTTGGCAGTTTTCATACTGGTTAAATATTATTTTTTTTAGTGTAGGCTTATTGTTACCATGCAGTTTTAGAAAGTGGTCTTTTTGTTGCTATTGTTTGCATTATGATTATTTTTGTAATCGTTTTTTTCACTTTAGGCACTGCCAGTCAGTGATATTTACCCATTCCTTATTAGGCATAACTAGAGTATCAGCTCCATGAATTCTAATTTTCCTTGACCTAGCTCTTTACACCCTAATATCAGTATGCATATTCTCCATACTGTCCATCATACATTTCTGAAAGTGCAGACAAGGAGAATTTGTTCAACAATCTAGAGCCTCCTTCATTGGTGATCATCTCCCTTATTCTTGTGACCTTTATGTGTGATTCAGGGAAGATATTGCAAGTAGAAATTAGATGCTAGTCACTCTTATGAGTGAAAGGGTGAATGTATTTCCTTGAAATATTAGTACTTGGATGCTTATTCAAATTTTCAGCTTGAGGAGGAGTGCTTACTGGAAGTTGGACTCTCAATCAAGGGGGACACTTCTCAAGTTTGCACAGCAACAGGACAAAAATTTAAAGAACTGATAATGCACATGAGAAATTCTGTTAGTTTGTGGAGATAGAAATCACAGGAACAGGGAAGATACTCTTCTCCTGTACTGACTCCTCTGTAGTTGACACTTAAAAAGCTGTGAATAAAGTGGCAAAACAGGTTAATGAGTTAATGGTTTTAGCTTATTTTTTTTCTCTGTTTTGGTGGGAATTTTCCTAATTGCCTTTTGGGCTTGAAGTGTTAAGGATAGGAAAAAACCTCAATAGAACTTACTTTATCACATGACCCCAAATCCCTCAACACCAGTCTCTTTACCACAAAAAATGCGTGGGCTTTGTCTGATGAGTTTAAACTGGTGCCATTTTCTTCATCTTCATGTGTTATTTGAAACAAATGGCGTCCGCTTCATTTTGTCTTGTTTACTTCAGTAGTATGCCTCTGCCATGTGAAATGAATTTGAGTCGAAGTGCACTATGATGCACCCAGATTGAAATAATCCAACTTTCTTTGGATCTTAACTCATGAGATGAGTGATACAGCAAATAGCTAATTACTCAAGGGGCTGGAACTCCTTGTTTCTTTGGAATGTTGAATACAGTATTTCTGTCTGATTTAAAAATGTATTCAAACCAGTTTTAATTGTATTTCACTTTGCTAGAAATGTCGTGATCCTTCAATTGTTATTTCTTAATTGCGATTGATGATACGAATTAACTTTTATGTTCTCTGTTGTTTAAGGAGATGTGAAGTGACCCCTATACATGTAGTTGGTACTATTGACAGAATAGATTGGTGTGACATTTACTGTGGCAAGCTGGTATTCCAGAAATTGTCATTAGTACCAGAAGCTTACTGCTGGTTTAAACTATCAGTCTTTTGTTCTCTCTATGCAACTTGCCTCGACTAGCTTATGCTGTATGCAAATTTTGTCTCTACTTTATTTGCAACCATAAAATTACCAAATAAGGTTTTCTTTAAAAGTTTTGTCCACATTTCATTGGGAAAGATCATGAGGAGTGATCAGGTGAAATATTGTCATGTTCCTTATTAAGAGTGTCTGAGCTTCCAGGATGAGAGCTATAAAATTTCCCAATTTACTAATGTTTGATTTGTCTGTCAAAAAACTATAAATTTCTTCAAATAGGCAGCCAAGCCAGTGCCCATGATTGCATAATATTCAATATGAAAGTTCCCTTTTGACGAAAGTCTCTGCATTTCTCTAAAGTCTGCTTGGTGTAAATCATCTATTTTCATAAAGAGATCAACAAACCTCTCCACATTATTTTAATCTGACTTTGTTCATTCTTGTTTCCAGGAATGAAAAGGCTTTTGGATATATTTTGGTTTTCATCCTCACTGATAATATCAGCCTTACTGGTTCTTTGTTGTTTGGTTTGCAATAAGAGTCTTTTTAGACCATCAGATTGTCACATAACTTTTGTGATGAAATATGTTAGAGAAAAAGGTTGCAAAGAGAGTATATGATTTTGTGGTGCAGTTGAAAGGATAAATGAATGTGACATTTATTAGGAAATAATTGATTCATTTAACTATTTATATTACAAATGGAAGCAGAAACTAGTACCTTTGTTTTAGTTCACAACTTTGCCACCTTTCAGACAATATGTGTAGAAGCTGAGTACCAGTATGTCAACTTCTGATCTGATGAAAAGCAAGGAGAGAGAATGTGAACTAAACATTCCCATTTCTGGTCACTCTTTTGGGTTTATCAGGCAACAGGCTGGTTTTTCTAGTCTTTGTACACACCAGTCTCCAATCATGGTGAATTCTCATCTGTTAAGGCTTAAGGGTAGTTTGACCAAAGTAAAGTATTCAAATCTTAATGAAATTTGTTGCATCATTGATCATATCTGATGATATATTTCAGACACTAATGGTTGAAAAAAATTTCTTTACTCAGATAAAATCCAGTTATTCCTCCATTTCTACCAAACTCTCCTTTGATGTAACGGCATTATCTCTAGTACTAACGTTAGCTTTACTTTTCTTAACTCGACATTGACCTTTGTTGTTTTGGTAATCGGCCCGGTTGTGATTCATGTAAAAAAAATAAATAGCTTTTGCAACAAAACAAACTTCTGTAAACTTAAATTAATTCATCGCTAAAGTTGCAAGTACATTGCACTAGCAGTACAATTGAAGCTCTACAAAACACTCACAGGAAGTGAGTACTTCAAATGATGAACGATAACTTGAGAAAGCAATGACACGATAAAGGTATACTATCCAATAAGTCTGTGCTCTTTTGCAAGCCTCTTGCATCCTTCACAAATAACATATACATCAATCGCCCAAACAATCTAAAACAAAGACTCGAAGTTGTTTACATACTTTTTTGTTTTTTGAAAATCACTTCCTTCCACGAACCACACAACAATTTTAAGACTTTGACGCTTCCATCTAAGTTTCAGAGGGAAAAATTAAGAATGGTTTTCTAAAATACTTGATCCTTTCCTGGTTTCCGACGCATTTTCTTCTTTAGCGATTATTTAGCGAGAAACCGACGCAGGCGCATACCAGCGGTGTTTCGCATCAAACAAAAATTTACAAAGCATGCGAAAACATAGTGCCCCAGCCTTCCTAAGTAGAGCTTGATTTTCGTGAAGAAAGGTTGACTATGGGTCAGACATTTGCTAAAGAGTACAAGGAATCAATAACCCTGGCCTACTATTGTATTAATACCTTTCTTACAATCCTCGGCTTTGCAGCTGGAACCATTTACTTATGGTACAGAGATCGAAGGGACCAGGAGAGGCGTGCAAAGGAGGATATGGAACACCAGGAGAGGCTTGCAGAGAAGGATAGGAAACACCAGGAGAGGCTTGCAAAGGAGGAAAGGGAATACCAGAAGAGACGTGCAAAGGAGGATGGGGAATACCAGGAGAGGCGTGCAGAGAAGGATAGGAAAAACCAGGAGAGGCTTGAAAAGGAGGAAAGGGAATACCAAGAGAGGCGTGCAAAGGAGGATGGGGAACGCCAGAAGAGACGTGAACAGGAGAATCGGGAATACCAAGAGAGACGTGAACAGGAGAATCGGGAATACCAAGATAGACGCGACAGGAGAATCGGGAACGCCAAGACAGACAGAAACATGAGGATCAGGAACGCCAAGACAGACGTGACAAAGAAGAGCGAAGAGACCAGCTGAGGCAAGAATGGCGTCAGTTCACGGAAATAATTTTTACAGATCACAGCAGTCTGAAACAAAACCATATCCTAGAGAACATATTAAAGGTAAAGAAAACTTTTGACAAATTGCCAATTCACTCTGAAGTAACTGGCCTTGATGTTTTGAGATACTGGCTCGCTGATGATCACTACCAAAATGTTTCGAGCGAATCACCCAAGCTGAGGGCCCTTCGTGAAGACCTCCTCAGGATCTGCCTGCCGCTAAGTTCCTGCTCTTCGTTGATCCATTTAGGAGAAGTTCCCAAAAATACGAAGGAAGAATTAAGAGGTGTAGTGGAAGAATTGGGGAATGCAGCAAAGCCTTTCTTAACAGGTGATAAACTAGAGGTCGCTTTGACATGCCTCAAACATTTTGGTGGGGGCAAACCATATGCAGGTCCTGAAAGAAAAGTGCCTGATAAGCCACTTGAAGATATTGTTCCATATGTAAATAGCCTGAAGTTAGTTCATATTCCTCGTCGGATACCAAACCAATCTGTTTGTCTACCAATAGAACCAATTGATGAAAAAGATTACAGCCAGTGCACCAATTTTTCATTAACAATGATGGGGTTTGACGAGAAACATTCCCTCAGGCATCTCCATCACATTCTAGAAAGGGAAGAATATACGACTTATCAAACTTGTATCGAAGAGTTTAAAGTGCAACAAGTAAAGTCACCTCTAAACTTGACTGACCCTATTGTCAACAAGGATAGCCATAAAGAAGTTGTTGCAAAGGTGCTGCATGAGATAGTTCAGAGCAAACTAGAGTCACCAAAGATTGACGGAAAAATTGTGAGTATACTAGGTCAGCTTTTTGAGGAAGTAATTAAGTCACTGCCGTTAAAAAGCTCGTTAAGGAATTCTACCATGCTAGCATATAAATATGGAAGTTACTGGCACTAAGAAGAAACTATTCTCCTTTACTGATTCCTCTGTAGTTGACATTTAAAAAGTTGTAAATAAAGTGGAAATAAAAACAGGTTTTCCTTGTGTTCCTACTATTTACAAAATTGAAGGAGGTGGGTGGGGGGGGGGGCTTTTTCAAGAGGGGCACTTGTTTGACGTTATGACCTAATAGGTGGGTACTTATTTGGAGGGGGTTTGGTGCTTTCTATGGGGTGGGTGCTTATTTGCCCAGCTTTTAGTAGAGCTTGGTCAATGTGTAAAATTGGCAGTTGCCAATTTTTTCAAGAAAAATTGAAAATCAAATCTTGCACTTTGATAGGGCATTTGAGCACAATTTTCCCTCCCCCCCGGCTCTGGGGGGAGGGGGGAGGGGGGAGGGGGGAAATAAACAAGCTTATCTTCTAAAGTTCAAATGCCGGGGGGATGTTGAATCTTTGAATTGACTGACACCAAAATCTTTACAATGGAGGTGTGACACAGTCATGAACGTGCATACGAACCTAAGGCAATCAATCGACAACGAGATGGATCTAGGGCAGGGTCCGGGGGACCTGAGCCCCTCCCTTATTTTGGAGAAAAAAAAAGGAATCGCGGATGGAAGATAAGCCGGCAGGGCAAGCAACAAAAAAACTGCCCCCTCCCCCCCCCTTAGCTCAAGATCTGGATCCACCACTGTAAGTTAACATCAGAGTAAGAAAAAGCAACTTATGACTTCAAGAAGATCATTTTGTCCAGGAGCCTATCTATAATTGAACATTTGCCTCAACTCTTTTCCTATGCTTGGTTTCGCTTCCTCACAATTTCTATTCTAGGTACCAGTCTTTTTTATATTAACTTGTTCTCGAGCACTAACACTATCATCTCATCATGATCGTTTCTCTTAGTATCAACTGTTTTTATCTCTTGATACTGATGGAACGCAATGTTTGTTACCTCAAGTTTATTCCGAGATGGAATCTAGTTGGGTTTCCTCTCTCACAAACTAATCTCATAATAACTTCAGTTGTAGCACTATGGGTTCCCGAGGAAGTGTGCGCTATTTCTTTACTAGGGGAATTAAAAAAAATCACCCAGTTATTTAAGCGATGACTTAACATTGATTCATTAAGGAGGAGACACGGCTTTAAGTGCAAAGAGGAGTTTAGCTAATTGTTTATTGTTTGACCTTGGATGCTGTCATCGAACCTGTCCCGATTATACCGAGCAACTATTGGCGTTTGAAGAAACTCTTCAGTTCTAGTAACCTTGAGTAGTTTTTTTTTTTTCATTTCTAAGCAATTTTTAAACAAAAGATAAGTTTACAGCACATATCAAGTACCAAAAAGTCAATAATTTTATAGAAAATTCCAAGAGATGTATATTTTAGACTCTGAGAATGCAATCAGTAATGCTAGTTTCGTTCAAGTTCCCCCATATCATTTGGCAAGACGTCAAATGAACTATGTGTTTTATTCCTTTAGACTTGAGGGCATCCTTAAATTCCTCCCATATTTGCGAGCAACTCTTTAAAATTAAGTTTCAAGCTACTTTTCTTGACCGATGTTGGTAATTATTGCGAAGAACGAAAAATTAAGCTTTAACTAACGTTTATATAAAAAGATCAAGAAGTTTGAAATTCAGGTGACAGCTTTTTGGATTTTTGGAATTTTTTTTATCATCTTAATAGCAGTCAGTGAGCAAGTTTCCTGTATGTTATACGAGTCAGATCTTGCTTAACAACCAGGCCCCGGTTGTTCAAAACTGGGTTAAGGTAACCCAGGGTTAGTGTGAAATTTGATTTCAGGTCTGAAAACTTTAAGAGAAAATTCAGGTCAAATCTTTTTGCTTGCAATTTGATCATTGGATGTTCTAAAAAGAATAATGAAAATTTTCCCTAAAAGACTTTTGAACAAAGAAATAAAGAAAGCTGGATTAAAATTTAACCCTGGGTTAGGGCTAATCGGCCTTTGAACAACCGGGGCCTGATGAATTTAACAATGTGGTAAATAGATTTCGCAGTTAATAATGTAAGAGAGAACGAAATCAAATTATGGATAAATAAATAGATGAGGAAATAGGGATCAGATAATCATAATGTCAAAAGCTATTTATATAGCGCTACTAAATGCGCTTTAACTTAATTACTGCAAACCACTGAACTAAAAGCTATACAAAAAAAGACATTTTAAGCTGTTTTGTTTTTTATTTTAACTGGCGAAGCTACTACAGGTGTTAATCGATAATGGCAGTGAGAACTAGAGACTGGAGCTGCCGAGTGATCGAATGCGCGGACAGCAAGTGTAGGCTAGTTGATTCTTGGAGCGGACAGATATCTATTTCGCGCTCAATCCTCCTATCGATTCCGCCAAAAATGTAAATAAACAAGGATACAGAAAAACAACATGTGGTCTCTTTTTCGTTTTTAATGGTTTTAATGGAGCGGGCTAAATTAAAAGTAATCTTTGGAAGGATCTTGACAAATTGCAGTTTCCGCTACTCTGACACCCAACAAATGAAACTTTTAATGAGTATCTACTGGACCTCCAAGATAACATTTCCTCTAGAATTCCTGTGAATTTTTCCTGAAAACGGAACAGAAAAGGATTCTAAGACAATCTTTGCGCGTTTCGTATGAAAGCAAGAAAAGGTCAAATAAGTATTCGCGCTGCCAGGTGGTAAGTGTTATGTAGTTTGTCAAAATAGAACCGACAACTGTGCTGATTGTTATGCATCATGCATATTCAATGAGGTTTGAGTGTTGTGAACACAAAAGCGATCACTCACTTGTCACCTTCAAAAGGCCAAACTGTCTCCTTCGCCTTAGAACGCTGAAACCCACAACTCATCCTTCGAAGACACTTTTTTTTTGACGGGAAGGGAGCCGGCGAATAAACAAACCCATTTGTGCACACATGGCGGATATCGATTCGCCACAGTACGGCGAGGAAGATGAAGAAAATTGCAAAGACGTCAAAAAGAGCAGAAGAAAGCGGTTAGTACCATTTCTACGTACCAGATATATTTTAAAACAGTAATTGCTTATTATTCGCCGAATTCTGCGATAATTATCAGCCTGAAGTCGCCCATTTCCGAAGGTCAGTCATTGCTTACCAGGTATATACATCTCCTCGTTTCTTGGATCTGTGCAAATTCTGGAAGACAATCATATCTATCGACTGATGTTTGCACATAAAACGAAGATGAATGCGGAGATTAGAGAAGGCAAATTAAAAATATTGGTTTTACTAAACGGAGTGAAATATTGCGACTGCTGTTAAAATGTTTTTGTCGAAGATAAGATAAACGACTGACCAAAATGTTTCTCGCGATAAAAAAAACCGCAAGTAAAACTTCCGAACATTCGGAGGAAAGGTCGCGAAATTTTCAATAAACCCTCGGCAGACAAGTCTGTTTATTGTCAAAGTTTTATTAGTCTTTTGTATTGCAAAGCTTTTCCTGATTTTTCAGAAACCCTTCCCGGCCAGCCGGCACAGTGACATGAATAACCCGTCTATTTAACGGATAAATACGAAAGTGCTGGCTGATGAGTAAGAAATTTAGGGTCTTTCCTATTTAGAGACCCGTCGTGAAAGTTTAGCATACTGTTTACGCGAGGCCCTTCAACAAAGCGTTTGTAAACACAAAGCAACTTTAGGGATTTTAGTCTCTACATAAGCTGCTATATTGGATAATAAGTATAATAAGGTTTCATTTGAATGGACTGATTGGGTGTGAAAATACTTCTGCGCAAACATTATCGACAAATCTTACAGGATATTTTACATGATATAATTTTTGCTTGGCAGGGAATTTACAAATGAGTTGTTTTCCTTAATTTCCTGCTAGTATATTTGAATTAAGTCAACAAAATTACCTTTTTGGTTCCTCCGAACAGTTTGCCCAAACTGGCGTTACGATGTTTGATGAACAGAGAATAATAATACTTTTCACCACAGTTAAAGAGTAAAATTCACTTATTTTTAGCAATTCCCTGATAACTGTTTGCTAAACGTGCGATCAAACAAACCAAAATTTTCTAATCTGCGAATTCTGCATTAGTAAGCTGCGACCTTAAAAATGTGATATTATAAGCTTTGTGGTGGATTACAAGTTAGCCAGCCTTTCTTGTGGTTTGGCGCAAAACCCGCTAATTAGGGGTATGTTTATGATAGCTGGTTAAGGCGATGTTGTGAATAATAATAATATTGTCAGGTTTATCCATATTTCTAGAGACAGTTCACCGCCGTGATGTAAACTATTTGAAAAACACAACGAACCATTAAAATCAAGTTGTTTTCTTGGTAGGAAGTTTCACATTAACGCGGCTTTGATGCGCAAAAGTCAACAACCGTAAAATTGTGCTTGAAATCGACAACGAACGATTAGATCTGATTGTCGGTGGGCAAGATTCGCCCAGTTACGCGTGACGAACACCGTGCGTGTTTTGTGCTTTCACGTATTGCTTATTTTTGTGTGCGAGAAATAAGCCCTCGTGAGTGGCAAATTTGTGTAAATTTCGCGTTGGAAAGCCACGAAACGCGCAGAACTCAGAGAAGTGGAGGATTGAGAACGCTATCAAAATTTCTCTGGCTCCCAAGAGGAGACGGGGGAGGGGTGGAGGGGTTTTGATGGTGCTTAACTTGTTGAACTATTTTTTCCAGCCCCCCAAATCCCACGTCATAACCGATCTTGAAGATGTAACGAAACGCCCAGTTCCCCCCCCCCTGCCTCCCAAAAAGTGAGAGGGGAGGGGATGTTGCACGAAAAATCAAAGAACGGCTATGGAGGATATTGCGATACCATTAACCGACCCCTCCCAACCTTGCGTATATTTCTCTAAGTCCACTCTGTTCTCAAGCCCTGAAGTGCCTGCCGCAATTTCCCCAGACACGAACCAAAGTAAGATGAAGGTAATGAATTCATTATGTTTTCTCGAGGCGAACTATCGTTGCAAATGTTAAGAGAACGCCTCTTTGATTGTAGGCAGTATACACTCTTTTGTTTCAAAAAGACTATCAGTATTTTCATAAAATTATTATAGGAGGGCGTTTTCTAGTTGGTGTACAGCCACTCCCTTCGCCTTAGAAAAATCAATAAGGGAGCCCTTACCAAGTTTTTTTTTTTTTGAAGGGAAGGGGCGGCTGTAACCTCACCAGGTATTTTAAAGAAAAAATAACAGTTCATTAATTACTTTTGATCAGACTCTCAAATTGTTTTCTTAACGCGAGTGGAATAAGATACACTCGCTCGCATCGGTTCGTCGCAAACATTATAGTTCTTTTACAGTGGACTTTTTAGTGAAATTCTTCTCCCCCTTGAGATAAATTTTTGCTAAAACAAATCGCAAAAATTTGAACTAGCCAGCAGTTTAAAACGTCGAAACGAAATAACAGAATAACAGTACGCGAGAGTAGTAAGGGCTGAAGGCAATTTTCAGATTCGTTCGTGATCGCGCGTGTGGTAGTGGCTTCACGCGTGATCTCGCATCAACCGTCTTTTGATGTTTAATGGAAATATCTTTACCGAAATTCTTGCACAGCGAGTTTTGTCACGAGATGGTGCTAAGAAACCCTTTCGACTCAAATTCCTAATTCTCTGATAACCAATAAACCCGATCAAGAAACAGACTTTCATAAACATACTTGTTTCTACATTTGCATTTCGTCACGAGCGCGTGGGTAACACTTGGATAGCAGCAATTGGTAGTGTTTAACCTTTAGTCCAGACGGATCTCCTATCAGTAAGAATCATCTAGAAATGTCGTTATGCTATCTGATCATATTTTTTCCTCTCCAAACAAAATAAAAGGTCTGTCAGAGACACTCCAGATAGCGCAAGTGAAATCGTAAATTCACCGCCACGTTAGTAAACAATTAGTTTGCGATGTTTTAAACTCGCAATCTTTCACATGAAGCGACGCATTTAAGCTATTATGTGATCAACATGTCGTCTTAGGTAGATTTGTTTTGTAACTTTTGCAGTCTAATTAGTTATGCAAGCTGTGCTGATAAACAGCGCACTTCTGGAGAAATCTGTCGTCGGCTGTCTCTCTTGGCAACTTAAAAATGACTTCAATGGAATATTTCGCCTCAAGGATTGAATGTTTTTGAATCTGGTAACATCTGCATCGATTAGAAAAATCTGTACATGGGAAAGTGGAAGACGTAGAAAAAAATTCATGAAGGACTGTTGTTAATGAGGCTTTTGTTAGCATTGCTTGTGAGAGCGAGGTGATCTCTTTCGTGGTTAGATAGTAGTGCGTGAATACAAAAAACGAACTAACAAATTAACAAACAAACAAACAAACGATAAAACAGGAATAAACGAATACAGGAAAAAATAACAAAACCTGATCTCGTAAATTGTGTGGCCGGCTGTAAAATGCGACATAAATAGAATTGCTTAATTGAAGCTTTGACGAAAAACAAATAAATTATTATGGAATGACGTTACTTGCGTAAATACCTCCGTAATTGGACTAATTAAGACATCCAATACATGACGTTTGATTGATATCTCGCTTTTTTTTTTCCATTTTTTTACTTTATCTGATGTCTCAGATGAAAAATACCGAGGATTTTTTTTCCTCAACCGTTTTACACGAAGTTCACATATGGTTTGCCTATCATTTCATAATTAAATGCCATGCGGTTTCTGTCTTAATGGAAATGTGCAACACCGACTTCTTTGAATGGTCTCTGTTAGTGTATATATTTTTTGGGGGCCGAAAGAAAAGATTTTAATGTGTATATTTTTTGGGCCGAAAGGAAATATTTTAATGTATATATTTTTGGGGGCCGAAAGGAAATATTTTAGTGTATATATTTTTTGGGGGCCGAAAGGAAATATTTCAGTGTATATGTTTTCTGGGGGCCGAAAGGAAATATTTTAATGTATATATTTTTGGGGGGCCGAAAGGAAGATTTTAGCATATATATTTTCTGGGGCGGAAAGGAAAGATTTCATTCCGCGGAAGAGAGCTTCTCATGGTTTCCTTATTCGCCAGGAAAAAAAAAAAAAGATTCTGAAGTGACAAGGTTCCCTGCAATTTCAGCCCATGAAAAAGGGGACAAGTCCGTTTGACTCGTTGTGAATGAAGGCGCGCAAATTTTGCAATAATTTTAGTATTTCCTTTGCAACATATTGCCGATTAGCGCCCTAAATATGGTGGTATAGGAAACAATTTAGCCAGGAATGTTTAATTTTGTTCAATTAAGTGGATTTATTAACTTAATTTCCCGCCCTGTGTTTGAAATCCAAACCCGCTGTTCTTTTTGGACACATTGGATGCAGAGATAACTTTTCAAGGCAATGGTGGACGCAATAAGCAAAGAAAAAAGGCACTTATTTGATTGCGAGTAGCGACTATTTCGTGACAAAGGGTGACACTTTTCACGATTTGCATTTTATAGCTCGAAACTGGGCTTACCCCACCCTACCCCCCTCAAAGTATTTCGCGTTCTTGACAACACATTCATGCAAAAGAAGTATGCAGCGGTTCGTAGTCGAAGATTTATAACAAGTATTGGTAAATACGTCAAAATCCGAGGTGTGTTTGTTTTGTATAGATTTCGATGCAAATGTAGTACGTTCTTACGGACGGCCTCCAGTTCTCGTGGGTGCTTTAGATGAATTTCGCTAAATGCTGCACTGATTTTTCCTGTTCCAGAATGCCGCTGTTTGGGAAAAAGAAATTCGATGAGAAGATCACAAAGAAGTACACTTTTCATGACGTGCTCGGAACGTAAGTGGCCTCACAAGTTATCTTCCCTTATGACAGATGAATTGACACATGCACGAAGCTCTAAGAACTTGTTTTAGCGAGAAGCGCGGCTTGTATTTAGATAATTTGCCTCAAACTCTCGTGCGCAAATTTCAGTGAATTCTAATTGTATTCTGTGTAGTTCATTAACATTTGTGAAATCTCTTTATTCTATCTCACAGTGGAGCGTTTTCTGAAGTTTTCATGGCTGAAGAGAAGGCTACCGGTAAGTTATACGCTGTAAAGTGCATCGCCAAGAGGAAACTTTCCGGCAAGGAAGAGGCAATAGAGAACGAAATTGCTATCTTGAAGAAGTAAGTCAATTAGTAATATAAAACAGTTCTTGTTTTTGTCGTGATTCGCGTAACGCCTGTCCAGTCAGCCAGAAAAGGATGTTTTCACGATCGAAAGGCGTGTTGTTTTCTGTCTGTTATTCTGTAAGCTGTTCTTTGCGCAGTGAGATCACTCATGTTCGTCCATTTTATTTTGTCTGCAGGGTGAACCATCCAAACATAATTAAACTTTGGGAAATATTCGACAACAAAACACATCTTCATCTAGTGATGGATTTGTAAGTATTTCACTTTAAGCTTGCAGCGCTGCAAGAATCTATCTCTTAATGTTCTGCTTTCGCTTCAAGTTCATAATTTTATCGTGCTATCTAGGCCGTAGAATTCAGTGAATGACCAGTTATTGTTCGATATAAATTGCGTTAAAAAGCACGGCCGATGAAGGATTTAACCAGCATGGTGTTGCATAAATAAGGAAAGACGAAAACAGTCTGTCGTGACACGTACGGAAAGTTACACTTGAAAGGAACATTCGACGCAGAAATGGATTCTTTCTTGATATGACAGAAGTGTTATGTTGACTTAATGAAATCATTATGGTAGTTCCTTTATTTACGCGGTTGTTGCAAATGTTCTCGTGATGGAAAATAAAATCGTGTTATCTGACGTATGGGGTTTAAAAGGTGTTATCGTTTCGGCATTGGATATTTTTAACCTGACACCTTCTAGATCTGCCCGCGTATCAAATATCGAGGTTTTCTACCTGCACAGAAATTGAAATTTCAATGTTAAGAATCAAATGAACGCCTCTTTGGCTACCAAGATCTATTCATCTTTTGAGTTAAGTTCATTTCCCATTGTTTTTGTGCCGTGAAAAGTGAATATCGTCAAGTCTCGAGGGACCATCGTTAATAAGTAGTTAATTTAACTTGGAAAGAATGAAAAGCTCCGAACTGTGGCAACAAGACTTATGTAAACAGACGAAAATTCTAAAATCCAACAGCTTTTGGTTGTCTCCTATCCAGTCTAATATTCTCACAATTGCTCGTTTGAAAATTATGCCTACGTGAGACCTTTCACGAATCGATGATAAATCCATCGATGGTATTTTGACTTATCTTGCGAAGCGATCGCTCGAGTGAGGAAATGTCGTAGATATCCGCACTTTTTTTTTTCCTTACGAAATTTAAGACAACAGGAAAATGGACGGTAATGGTTCGAATTTGCCTTTGCACGAACCAAAATTTAATGCGTATGCAAATGCGGATCTTTGTGTAGTTGTAAAATATAATTCAGTTCTCATTAAACAGTTAACGATGTGAATTAAAAAAGGCGGCGAAAAGACCTGTAAAAGCAAAGAGGGCAAACCGGAAAAATAATTGTTTTTCTCGTTCTTCACAGCGCCGAAAAAATCTTTAAATTTTTAGCGCTTTCCTTAAAATCACTTATCATATTAGTCATTATTTTCAAGGTGTAAAAAATACATTAGTATTCAAGTTCAACCAGCTGTTGTTGGTTCACCGCACAACAGCTGTTAAACACGACTCGTTAATTTGTACAGATTGTGAATAATGGCAATTGAGTAAATACTTCTGATTGGAAATAATTATGGTTTCTTATCTTTGACGACAATTGACCAGAATTCTGCTTTTCAATAAATATTTTTAATCAGGTGTAAAATAATTTTACTTCAATACAGCAGAAATGAATTTGTTTGCCCAAGAGTTGATGGTGTGATTTTCATTATTTGAGATAAAATTCATCTTTGAAATTGTATTGTTAACTACACAGTCAATCTAAAGTTTTAATTTTTCATGTAGAGGTGTACGCATGAAAAAGAATATCAAAGATTCAAACAGCTGCAGATGTGCAACAACTTCCTTCCAACAAATAGGAGAATGTGGGAAGGAAGTCAAAGGTTGATGGGGGGGGGAAGGGTGGTGGTATAATTTGTAACCATTGTTCTCTCAGTATGTTTCTATATATTTCAAGGTTACATAGCAACTGAAAATATTCTGTCCCTTTTTTGAAATAAACTTATTTTAGAAATTGAGGAAAAACATGTTTTTACGGGTATAATTTTTTTGTTGTAAAAAGTACTAGATTTAAAAGGAGAATTCTGGGAAGTCAAGTTTGGTGTGGAGTCCTATATTATATTAGTGCAATGATAGGTGGATGAAGGAGAGGTGTGAAGGTGCATAAGTGCATTGGAATGACAGAGATATTTCTGATTGCTCAGAAAGTGCCATTACCAACCTTCCTGTGAGAGCTGTTTTTCTCAGTCTTCCCCCTACCTCAGTCCTCTGGAAATTCTAGAATTTTAGTGAACACTCCTTATGAAAGATGAAGTGTACATTATTCAGCAAACTGGTAATAAGAATGTCCAAACAAAGAACTTGTCATCTTGATCTAACACCAAATTTTTGAAACTAATTTATGGGGAAATGTGTAGCCAGTAGAGGGCAAAGAAACCTGGGCTATAAGATTATTACTGTGATTGAATGTGCATAGGATATTATACAACTTCCTTTAATTTATTTATATGTATATGTTTTTGTGTTAGGGTTCAAGGGGGAGAACTGTTTGACCGCATAGTTGAGAAAGGTAGCTATACAGAACAGGACGCAAGCGACCTTATAAAACAGATTCTGGAAGCTGTAGATTATTTACATGGTCAGGGGATTGTGCACAGAGATTTGAAGGTTAGTAGTAATAACAAGGGGAAATAATTTGGGTTTAACCCTTCCACCCTTAAGAGTGACTGGCATCTAATTTCTCCTCACCATATCACTCTTGAATCAAACATTAAGGTCAGGAGAATAAAGGAGCTGATCACCGACTAAATAAGCTCTTGATTGTTAGACAAATTCTCCATGTTGACATCTCAAAAAATGTCTAGAGAACAGTATGGAGAATATGCATACTGATGTTAGGGTGTAATGGGTTTAAAAAGATATGAAATGAGCTGATATTAGTAAACAATGAATAGGATTTAGCACTGACATGTTCAGAGAATGTTTCTCCTTTTGGAAATAACATGTAATTATAGATTGAGTGTGCTTTATCTGTGGAGGAAGGAAAACAGGGCAAATCAGATAACCTTTTGACCCCAAAAGAGTGACTAGCATCTAATTTCTCCTTACAATATCACCCCTGAATCACACACGAAGGTCACAAAAATGAAGGATTTAATCACCAGCTAAAGAAGCCCTTGATTGTTAAACAAATTCTCTAAGACAATGCCTTTGGAAATGTACAGAGAACAGTATGGAGAATTTGCATACTGAGGTGTATTTAAGGGTTACCAACCCTCACAATGAGGATTAAACCTGACAACTACAATAATATAATTCAACCTGCACGTCCCAGATGCTATGTTGGAGAATTGACCGAGGATCATAACAGGGGTTACAACCTCTGGAATTATTAAATCTGGACACCATTTTTTTTGTATTTTTGGGAATCGGAGTGCTGGATATTCTAAAGAGACTTGCATATAATCTAAGAGAGTTGGCCTATACATTCAGTATTTCCAAATTCTTTTGTTGCCACATTATTTGTGTTACAGATGATGTATCAGAAATTTTTAACCACAACTATTGTCAATGAAGATTCTCTCAATCTCCACAATGTTTTCATTTCATTTTTTGTTTTTTCTTCCTTGTTTTGTTTTGTTTTTTGAACTGTCTCACCAACTGCATTTGCTTGCTTACATGGAAACATCAACAAGAGTTTCATAACTGCATTACCTCTGTGGTTAGAGAAGATTTACCAAATTAGATTAAGCTTACACAGTAGTTCTAGAACCTGAAAAATTTGTATATCACAAAAGTATCATGCTGCTTATAAACTAAATGAGATACATCATTGTTATTGTGCTAAACAGTAGGTGGTGGTTTTTTTTATTTAAGAGCTAACATTCAAGCTGAGTTTATATTAGCTTGGTTAAATTAATTAAGTTTTTCCTTTTCTTGTTTGTTTTTCACTGAATTAGCTTTTTCACCAAAGGCAAGGTTTAACCCTTTCACTCCCAAGATCTGATTAGTAATTCTCTTTACTATCTGCCATACAACTCTTATGATGCTAGTTTAGAGAATTTGGTATGGGATCAACTAATAATCCCATGGTTGACATTCTTCTCTATTCTCATCACCTGCCTGCTTGATATTGTATTGATTTTGTAAGGAGAAATTCTGTCTTGGTCACTTGTGGGAGTGAAAGGTTTTAACATCGATGGAACTTTTTCCTCTATTCAAATGAAAGCAGTAGGCTTCCCTTTGGGTAGGAAAGTTTTGGTATCTAATTGAGTTCTTCACAATTTCATACTTAAGGAAATTAAGAACATGACTAGTAAACATAAGATAAAACTTTTTAAACAAGGTTGTTGTTTGTGTGATGATTCTTATCACTAGCCTTGGCAATATGAATACTGCTAGGGGCTTCATGCTATGGAAACTGGTCAAATTTCTGGTTGTATGGGCTCAAATTAAATGGATATTTGCAGACCTTAAAGATGAACACTATTTTTAGAAGGAATGTTCATGGAACATATTCTGGTGTAAAGATGAAGTACCATTTATTTGCCTAAACTATACTCACTCATCGACAATACCTAGTAATTGTTATTGTTTACAAAAATACCAACACTTCAAACATGACCTTGTGCATTATTCTATCAATCAATCTATCAAACTTTATCTAACCCTCTTTAAAACTCCCAAGATCTTATTGTTAATTCTCTTCTTCAGCTGCTACACATTTCATTGTAAATTGGTCACAAGAATTTGGTGTTAAATCTAGATAATAACTTGTTACCTGATAAGTTTGAATAATCTCACAACCTGTTTGCTGGATAATGTAAGGATACTATGGGGAGAATTTATATGTTAATCACTTCTGGGATTTAAAGGGTTAAAGAGGGTGACACTTAATAGTTAAAAACTAATGAACTTGTGGCCCTCTATAAACATTGTAACAATTTAAAAAAAAAACCCTTTTATGTATAATTAATAACCTAATTAAGAATTAATTAAAACCTAATTAAAAATCACAATGTACTACAAATTAAGATAAAAGAATTTAAACATAAAACATATTGCTCATATCATGTGATCTACAAATAAATTTTATAAAATAATTTAAATAGTATGCACGCTCTGATTGGCCATAAAACCATTTTACATGAGTGTATGTAAACACAGTTTTCGTTCCTCTTTCATTAGTTATTTTATAAAAGAAATGTAGAAATGTAACTCGATAAGCTGGAAACCACTCTGCTTCGTGTCGTGGTTTCCTACGCTTACGTATCTCGTGTTCTCCCAACCTCCCGCATGTTTACATCAGGCTATGTAAACACGGAAACCATTTTATATTTCTTCAATCTAAAAGAGGAAAAAAATCTTATCCCTATGCTGACTTAATTTAAAATGTTTATACAAAGCATTCTTCGAATTATTTACAGTTCTTAAAGTGCATAACTTAAGGGGGAGGTGATTCCAGCTTCTTAAGGTTGTTACTGAAAATGTACGGCCTCTGCAAGGAAGCCTCTGAGTAGGGATAAGTACATTTATGAACAAAAAGCAAATGAAATAACAGCAATGTTACAAGAAGTGGTATTAATTTATAATTTAGTTATATAATAATTAACATTTTTAGGGAGGTTGGGGGGTCATCAATTTACATTCTCAATGAAGAACTGTTGCTCTTGTTAAATTTTAAAATTATTTTTCAATTGCAGCCTGAAAATCTTCTTTACTACAGGTAAGCTTGCATACCCTAAACCAAACATTTAAATAATTGACTGAAGTTATTCATAGGTTTTTTTGCTAATTTGATTATTTCTGTAATATCGGTCTTGTGTTTGCTGAATACTTTCTTTTCAGCTCACTAAAACAACTTTATGATTTGCGCTAAGTTTGTTACATGTAAGTTCACATTGATTGTTTTGTCTATCCTACAGTCCTGATGATGACTCTAAAATAATGATCAGTGATTTTGGCCTGTCCAAGACAGAGGAAGATGATAGCATGATGGCAACTGCCTGTGGAACCCCAGGATATGTTGGTAGGTGCATGAAGTTTGAAACAATTACTATATTGTTGTAGAAAATGTTGTTGTTCATTGTGATTTTAAAGATAAGTGAAGGTTTAATCATTTGTCTCATGATGCAAGAGTTAGAATAATCAACCATGGATTGGTTGCAAAATTTGGACTGCTATACTGCCAGTCTTCCTCAGGCATCTATGTTGTAAAATATTTTTTGGGGTCTTTTGATTTTGATGGACTTTGCATTTTAGAACTTTCCAATGACCATAAAAATCTCATTAACAGACTGCAAAATCCAAAGGATTTGTTTTTTCATGTTTAGAATCTTGAATAAACCCTTACTGTTTTCCAGCAAGGAATTTTGATTAAGGAAAGCAACATTGAAACAAAGTGTAACCTTACTGTTGTCAGATCTGGAAAGGACCCATCACTGAGGAGAACAGCATAAAGTTATCCATAGTGGAAAACATTCTTTCTCAGTCTTGTCCACTTCTGAGCCTTTTAAAAATGGCGTTACAGACCCCACCCAAAAACAACTGATTTATAATATCTTTCCCTTGAAAACCCAAAAAGCATGGCAGTGAGTCTAACACCTGAGCTACTGCAATGGGATATTAAATTAAAATGCTTTCTGTTCTCTGCTTGATAGTTTTAAGGCGGAAGGGTTTTGAAGTGTGTTGCTGATATATTTCATGGGTTCCTTTCAACTTTCTACACATATTTTTGTTTGTAAATGTGAAGAATATTAAGACTGGAGTGTAAGTGTACTTGATTTCAGATTTAGTTGGAGTTGATCTTTTTTCTTTTAGCCCCTGAAGTTCTCAAACAGAAACCTTATGGAAAAGCAGTAGATTGTTGGGCTGTTGGAGTAATTTGCTATATTTTGTAAGTTCATTTTATTATTATTGTAAGTTATAATGATGATTATTTTTTTAAGGAGATGGTCTTTTTATCAGCACTCTCAAATCCAGGCTGAGAAGTCTGGGTTCCAGCTACTGTATCTGTCTTACAGAAACCACCCCTTCCCCTGTCCACCTTTAAGCTGGTGAGTTGTCTGGGAAACCTGGCAATGTCCCTTGCAGTGGATTACCATCCCTTCAGGGGAAGGGTAATATTCATGCCACAGAAAGTAAGATCAGGTACTGAGATGTAGGCCTCAGGTTTGAGTGCAGATTTTACCATCAACTTATTTATTTTCAAAGAAAGATATGCTTAAATTTGGAGCAAACTTATCCAATAAGACAACTTATGTAATGTTTGCAGACTTTGTGGTTATCCTCCATTCTATGATGAAAGTGATGCAAACCTCTTCGCACAGATCATGAAAGGAGAGTATGAATTTGATACACCATACTGGTAAGCATTAGAAAATAGAATAACAGAAACGAAAACACAACAATTTTTGGATTAAAAATGACATGTTATTTATCTTTCCATGTTCAAAGTTTGCGTTCCTTTGTCAGTGCAGGGCATGGTAATCTGTATTAAAGAATTAATACTGAGGGAAAACCAAATGTAAAGCTGAGATTAAATTAATCTACCGCTCCTTCGAACTTTTCGAATTTGCACGAACGTAAAAATAAATATTTATCTATTTTACCACGAAAAGGGTTTTAAAGGATCTCGATCCTAAGCTACCTGTTCCTTGGGCATTGACTGATGTGCCTTTTCCGGGGAATTTGTTCGCCTCGCATATTGCAAACAATTTTCCCAGCTTAGGAACTTTCAAGTAACAGAACAGCTCGACTGAAAATGGCCATTAAGAATTTTCTCACCTCAACTGCATCAAAAGAGCTAAGGAATTGCCATACCAGGAAATTATTTTATTTCGCTGTTTCTTCCACGTGCTTGGACTTTTTTTTATTCCCAGCATACTTCACGCGTGAAACTCTCATCACTCAAACCCAGTCCCCAAGACAAAATAACTAGATTTGTTTTGGTTTATGTTTTTTTTTTTTTTTTTTAAAAAAACAACAATCACAACAATAACAGCAGCTACAATAAATAAACGAACACAAGCCGTTATTAAATTCTATTTCATTTTCTTTGGCGTTCGTGAATAGTCCATTATTTCGTCTTCTTTGCCCTTAAGAGATCACACCCTTCACTGGAAAGACTAAATCTATTTCCGGTTGAGACAATAGAGAACCGGAAATACCTCTGCGTCCGTTGTTGCACCTAGTTCCCTGTCTTGAATCCAAACTACTTCCGGTCCTGGTATTATTATGATCCTTTTAGGAATGCCGTCAGAAATTAACCTTACTTTCTGGGATGTCGCTACACATGTACGTTTTGAACTATACTGATAATGTGTCGATCATTCTGCTAACGGACTTCTTATATCATTTTATTTCTCAGGGATGACATTTCAGATTCAGGTATGAAGTTAAGTTTTTTTTTCTTAGTGCATCTCTTGTTGTTGCAACAGACGTTTAAGATTGGTGGGTGGATGAGACGACTTTTGTAGTTAACGCCAGTTTAACGCTTTAAATGTTAAGAGTGATCAGCATCAAATTTCTCCCTAACAACATCACCCCTGAATCACACGTTAAGGTCATGAGAACAAAGGAAATGATCACCAACGAAAGAAGCTTTTGATTGGTAAACAAATTCTCCTTGACAGCATCTTAGGAAATACATATAGAACAGTATGGAGAATATGCATACTGATGTTAAGGGTTAATGTTTTTTGTTTGAATTACCTTTCAGCTAAGAATTTTATTGAGCGTTTACTACAAGTTGACCCCAAGAAGCGGTTTACGTGCAAGCAGGCTCTAAATCATCCTTGGTACGTACAGTTCACCAATATTAGGTTTATTGCATTTTTTTTTTTGTTGAAGTTCAAGTTATATGTGTTTGGGGAATCTTTTGAAAAGCATTGTTGACTAAGCATGAGGTCTATTATAACCGAACACGCCGACTTGGTAAATGAAGGCAAGGTATCGAAAATACATATATTTACAGAAAAAAAGCCTGGTGTTCTTCCGACATTTTTCAAGTCTTATTCTCACAGCTGCTCAAGTGGTGTTCATTACTGAGAAGGTCGCCCTCATATTCACAGTGTTCTTTGTTTAACTTGTGACATGCCGGGTACAACATGTTTTACCATAAATTATTGGGATATTATTCAATATCAGTATCTGGGCAACTGCCCACCTACCCCTCCCCTAACTCAACAACAGTCAATTGACAACAAGTCAAGGTTAATGTTGGGTTAGGGGATGGGTAGGTGGGCAGTTGCCCAGATACTGATATTGATCCAATTATTGTTAGAGCTGCTAGAAGGCTCATCTTATCTAACTGAGAAATAGAAAAATATACATCGGCCGCATTCGATGTCTTGTTGCGCAGGATTAAAGCGGGGATTCCAGAACCCATGTTGCCCGCTCGTGTAGCCAATCAGATCACAGGATTCGTTTCATTTTGATCGATTTCGGAGCCAGCTCAGCCATTCGCGCTGACGAAGAGCTAACGCTCGAAACTTCAGCTTTGATACTCTTTACGGTGGCCAATTTACATTACCAACTTGGTTGATAAAACCAAATTATCCAGCTTAGTAATGTTTCCTTATAATTTCTCATTGTATTTGATAGGATTTCCGGTGGAGAGGCTCTTGATCGTGACATCCATGCATCAGTTAGTGAACAAATAAAGAAAAACTTCTACAAGGCTAAGTGGAAGGTAATCTTCATGGATGAAATCCTTACCTTATTATATTAATCTCGTACCCAGATCCTACCGTGTAACTGTCACTGAACTGATGAACCCAGATCTTTCCACCTCTTGGCTGGGAGGTCTGGGTACGAGACTAGTGTTTTATATTTCGACGAAGAATGGATCCACGTGGGCTGCAATTGTTTTGAATCTGTAAAAGGGGAAGGCGAGAGATTAAAGAAATTGTTACATACATGTCTCAGTTATCTGCAAAAAGAAGTGGGGGGGGGGGGTGGGGGTCACCTCCGATGGACTGACATCCCAAGGGGGGAGTGACAATATTCCTAGTCATTTCATACTCCAGAGAGTGAGATGGGCTCTTACTGGTTGAGTCGCCTGGCTCCTCAGCTGACCAGTTCACCAACTATTTTCGTGATAATGGCAGTTTCTCTTTATTCACAGCAAGCGTTTAATGCCGCAACAGCCATCAACCGAATGAAAAACCTTCAACTCGGTGGGGCCGACAAGCCGGCTGTAAACAACAATGGCGACTGAACCGAAGCAGCTGGTCTGCAGTGATGGTCTTTTTTAAGTTCTTTCTCACTTCTTGTCGGTAAACAGGCGAAGAAAGGATCTGGGAACGAGGCTTATGTAAACCCCTGTAGATCAGGCGTTTACGAATTTGTAGATTAAAATTTCCATCTGCTCATTTAAAAGCAAATATTTTGCTTCTTTTTTGTTCCATATGGAATTCATTTCAGCCGTCGAAGTATTTGTAATAATTCAAAGAAAAGTCGAATAAGAAATGCTTGAGTTTAGCGAAAGAAATATATCAAGGGTCACAGTGTAGTTAATATTCCTCATCAACTATTATGAAATATTTTGTAACCGATTTGTTCTATGGTCGAATTCCGATAGCGTCAGATGAAAACTTAAGTGTCTTTTAGACTGGAAATGCGCAGTTCTGCGCAGTTCAATCTCTAGGTAATTTTTTTAAGTGCATGAGCTCCTACCCCATGCGCTGGGTCCCCTTGACAACGGTCGAGAACTGAATCTTGGTAATTTCTGACAGGAAGTTTTAAACACTTTGTAAATCTTTTTGAAGTGCACAAGTGTAGTTACAAGAACTACTGTCAGTTTTGTGGTTAATGTTAGAATACCAGCGATGGAAGTAGGTTCAAAACCAATCAAAGTTTCTTGTCTTGCGATCGAACCAGGACTCGAGGAACGAGGAGAAAAGTTTCTTTTAAAGACATCTCTTTTCCTTTAGCAGCTTGTTTTGAGAGAAAATTATATTTTTCAGCGGATCACCTGCCGAATATTCTGATGTGCCAATCGATACAAATTTTGTTAGATTTATCATGTCCCAATTCTGGTCTCGTTTTTTTAGGAGTCTTCCAAATTTTGATGCTAGTTTCCGTTTTTAAATACATAAATTACTCGCTGTTCTGAGTGAGACGGTACATGTGTCAATGTAATACAATGAACTTATTGATCTTTGCTAATAAAATTATGCCTTCAGAAATCTCTCGATTATCATTTAAATATACTAAGCCCTTTGACCTTTAAGAATGACTAGCATCTAATTTCTCCTTACCATATCAACCCTGAATCACACATTAAGGTCACGTGAATAAGGAAAATGATCACAAATTTAAAAAGCTCTTGATTGTCGAACAGATTCTTCTCAGAAATTATGTGTAAAGAAGAGTGGGGAAAATATGTATACTGCGCTCCCCCTTGACAGTGCAATGTCAGTAAAAATCTGGTTGTTATACAGAGCTCAACTAAGCCTCTCTCCTTCGCGCGTATGTCAGCTTTAAATATCAGGATAAGTGATCCGAAAAAACTAAACCAAAGCCGTAGGTTATGCGTCCAAGGAGAGAAACTAGGTGAAATCTACCCAAAAACCACCAAATTATTTCAGATTTACTGTTGATAACAGTTACTGTTTGCCAACGTACATGTTGTTATCTACCAGAAATTATATAATAAGCTCAGTTATGCACGCGTTTTGATTGGTTCTCACTTATGATCTATTGGAGGAAAGACGTATAGATGACGTCATCATTAAAACTTTTTTTAATTCTTTATTATATAAAACAAATATATTCCAAGTTGCCGTGCGTCTGTTCAGTAATAGATCACAGAGGACGTCAAAATGTGGTAAGAACATCAGTGACACACTCGGCTGCGCCTCGTGTGCCATTTTTTTGTTCTTACCACATTTTGACGTCATCTGTGATCTATTACTGAACAGACGCACGTCAACTTGGAATCTATTTGTTAAATAAACTGTTAAGGTACAAGCTCTTTTAGTCGCTTCCTTAAATCCTATGGCCGCCAAATAGGGTCAGATTTGCGTCCTGTCTTTCATATTCTGCTAAAAAAATTGATATGTCTGGAAAACACCAGTAGGAAATTGTTCCCCTCTTTACAGCTGTGCCGACGGATCAATAGCACTGGAGGACGCTCATCTTTCCGCCCGCGAGAAGATATGAGACGAGTCGGAGAGAGGTTTACCAGGTCCTGGAATTCAGTGCCAGACCCCTTTCAGACCTCTCGCCGGCTTGCGCTGCTCAAGGCATCATACTTTCCGGGGGGGGAAGGTGGGGGGGGAAGATTTAAATTAACCGGAAGAGAAGTGGCGTTTTTGACTAATTTTTTTCAATGAGCTTAGCAAGTAATGGGAGTTTGAAAACTACAACTTCTCTTCAGCTCACAGTAAATGTTAACAGCGTGACACTGGTCATGCTGACTCGCCTTACGACCGATAAACTGGACCAAACCACCGTGGTGGTCAACCCACGTGACCAAATCATTGCGTGATACTACGGATGTAGTGTAACGCTGCAAGTCTTCAAGACTGAAACCCATTTTTTTACTGATGCATACCTCACCGGGGCTTGAAAAAGACACGGCTTGAATCTTCTGACGGCTCCCTATGATCTTTGCTAAGCCGCCACCAAGTGAATGGCCAGTGAGAATAACGTTATCACCTTTGGAGTTTAGATTCTTCTTCTTGATATACGACTCGATTGACTTAAGAGAATAATCTGGACGGTTATGATGCAGAATCCTTTCCAGAAAAGACGAAGCAGACACGTAGGACGTCACGAAACTCAGTGGGAACCTTTGCACTGGGAGGGCTTCAGAGGTGAGCTGGTAACTAATTACTTCACTCCATAACTTGAGATATTCGAACCATTCTCCCGCGGACACACTTCCTCGGATGCCGATGATATGAACTTGCCTTGTCGCCTCGAACAAATGATAATACCTGGGATTTCCCTCTGAGATGTAACTAACATTCCATTGACCTTTTCGATAGTGGAAATAGCTCCTAATTGACTTACTTAGATCCTGCTTGTTCCAGTTTGTCTGGTAGGCGACGAATGAGAGGTATGCCATTTCTGCCACGTTCAGACGTAACGGGGTCCATGTTTTATCGCAGATCGGATACTTTGGCTGATCTTTTTCATTGATGGAGAAATCTCTCGCGTTAGAGTGATTCACTGATGGTAAATTGCAACTGTTTTCGCTATACGCGCGAGATGTAACCGTCAGAATCAGCACAGCGAGGTAGGCAGCGGTGAAGAATACAGCAAAACGTCTCTTAATGACAAATTGTTCCCCATTCGGTTTTCTAGAGCCTCGGAAACAGATGTATAATATAAGGCAAGCTGTTAAGAATGGGTAGAAAAATGCGAAACAGACCGCGCCCGTTGATGCATTAACGAGAGTAAAGGAAACAGGGCAAAGAATTGAAAACAGAACGAGTGGGATACACAGTGGAAGAAGAACAATAGCGTATGCTTCGTGGCTTTCTTCACGGTAACAGAACACGAGCAAGCCAACCGAGCCCAGTACTGCTACGATAAAAGCTGCGAACCAGCACACTGCGAGGCAACTGCCAAGTAATGTTATAATACCAAAACTGTTCCCGGCACAGCCCGCGTAAATACCTGAACCCACAAAGATGGCGAGAAAAATCACCACCTTAACCTCTCGGAATATAAGAGTGCTCTTTACAACCGCAACTTTGATGATTTCCCAGAATAAGGAGAAGACTAGGTGAACGAAAAGCATGGTACAGCACAGGAGCACCAACAAGCAACACGTGTATAGGTTCTGGTAGGCAGCTGAGTCTCCCTGTGGTGAGATCATTTCAAATGTAATTTCCAGCGCGCAGTTGATAGCGAAGCTGAATGCAGTGACAAAAAAAGATATCAGGGAGACGATAATGGTCACGTGAGAAATCGGATAAAGGAAAGCAAATAAGCATCTCAGAATTTTCCAATGAATACCCACTCGACCTGCAAATATCTGAAACAAAAAAAGATGAGAAAAAGAAATGTGATTATTATTGATCGCGGGGGGGGGGGGGGGGTTGGGGGAGTGAGTATTTTTGGAGGATCACGTAGTTTTTAAGGGGGTACGGACGGGGGGCTCTTTCGTCCCCGACAAATTATAAAGAGGAGGCTATTGAAAATTGACTGTCAATTGACTGCCAATAAGTGTGGATGGAGGGGGGGGGGGGGAATCACAAGTACACTGCAGAGCCCTATGGGAGGGTCAGGTAAATTATATCTTGACTCAACAAATATCCTCAACCACCTTCCCTCTCCTTACATTTAAAAAAACTACTTTCAGTGTTGATTTATTCTAAATACATAGCTGTTATTTTCCCCCTCCTGTGATGGGAATTCGATGGAGCAAAAATCACCGTAGACGAGTCTCTCTCGTTCGTTACCCAGACTGTCGGAGATTGCGTGAACACGCACCAAGTATCTCGTTTTGATTGACAGCTTGATCGAGTAACTTAGATACAGGAGACCATTGTTGACAGATCGTTAGTTTTTACATTTTACTGTATGATGTAGGTTAGTTGCCTGGAGAGAGTGAGGGAGCACCGAGGGCACGAAACAAGGTAATTATTATACTGTGATATCGTGAAGTTCGGCCCAGGTCCGCAATATGTAAACAACTTCAGTAGCTCCGCAACACATTCGGGACAGAAAAGATTTATAGCGACTATCAGACCACTCATTTTAAAAGGATTATTGAAGAATACGATGGTTTCAGTAGGCTATTTAGAAGCCAACGAATAAAATCATTGGTTGTGGAAATCGTGGATTGTGACAAACGTGACTAGATTTCAAATGAGCGCCAATCGCGCTGCACCTGAGTGACATAGAACGAACCACCAAAATTGATACGTTTGCCGAGATAAAGATTAACCTTTGAGAGGCTAACGAAGTTCAACACGCAATAGTCTCTTTATCGAATTTAATATCCGAAGCAGACTTGTCCACCTACCCTACCATCAACATTCAAAACTGTAACTCCGTCATTTAAGGTGATATTATTGTTCTGTCATTTTCCGCAATGACATGGCGCAATTGAACATCTTACGAAGCGAAACACCACCCTCTCCTCCCAAAATGCCCCCTCCTTCGAACTCATTCACGAGTTTACTTTGCTTTCTGCAGACAAATGTGAAAGTCTCATCGCAAATGAAGGTTGGTAAGCAACGGAAAAATCTAAACTTGACCTTGTATTGACCCCTTATCTCCGTCGCGACGGAGTAATTGAGCTCCACAGCGTAAGGGGGTCATGTTCCAACAAAACAATAAATTTTAGAACTTAAAAAAATCAACCTTCTAACCATTCAGAGAGACTAGCTTCTCGTTTTTCCGAACAAAACCATCTCTGAATCATTCATCAAGGTCACGAGAATAAACAAATGATCATCAACAAGAGAACCTCTTGATTGTTAACCAAATTTTCTATGTTAGGAAAACGTACAGACAACAGTGTGGAGAAAATTAATGGCGATGTTAGGGGTGTAACGGATTAAGATTAATCCTTGCCGATCCTGAAGATGGAAGGCCATGAAAAAAAGATTTGCACCCACAAAAATTTGTGTTTCATTCCAACTTTGTCCTTCGATTTCAAAGATAATGTGACAGCTGAGCGAAAGATAAACAAACGTGCTATTTCCTATTCGTGCGTAATCTTCTTGTCTGTCACTACGTGAAAAATCCTAATGAAGTGTTTTATTGTGTAAAAAATGTCATCAGTTTCGCAATAAGAAAATTTCATAGACCGATAAGAGGAGAGATTGTAAGATTGGTGGTGGAGAATGGTGAAATCAAATACAAGCGAGACCTTCGCTTGAAAACCCGCGACTGAGGCTGATCAACAACTGATCATCACTGTCGCTACACCTAGATTAATCAACGGTACTACTGCACTTATCACATGAAAAAGTTGCCATATTTTGTTTTTGGTCGCCTTTTGTTCGTTTTACAAGGTACTGTTCGCGATCAGTAAAGCTCGGCCTCCAGTAACGCCCCCTGACCTGAAACAATCATTACTACTCTCTCTGCAGTTCTTCGCTTGATGCTTAACTCGAAGCGATGCCGAGCTTGTAAATGAACTAAGAACGAGTGAAACAGTGCTCTTACAGAAGATCTCATTACTATGAATTTTTTCCTTGATATGAGCTTTTCTTTACCTGCACATCACGTCTCGCCCTTGGAGTGACGAACAATGGCGTGTTCTCCTCTTCTTCTGTTAAAACAAGAATATCTTCGATCTTTCCTTCGCGCATCTCGGCCTTCTTTCTATATAGTCTTCGAAAACGACTGAGTTTGAAGTTCTGTTCCGTAAATTTTGATTTTTTTTGTTAATAAATCGGATACGTGACGCGATTCCACAATGCTAAATGTGTTAGTCAAATGTCAACTGAAACAAAAGTGGCATGCGGAGACTCATGCAGTGAAAACTCTACTTCCGGTAGGTCAATTTTCGGTGGATTACATATTTGCTAAACAGGAGTAACGCACCTATAAACGTATCAGTAACGTACTAAAAGACTGCAGTTTACTTGTGTTGCTTTGGGCGTATATTATTTAAGACTAGAACAGAGACAGAGAAAATTCAAGTTTAAGTTGATTAAAATGTATATATACTGTATTACAAGTTTGGCCGAGAGCTCTATGGAACTTCTGACTCCACCTATAACCTCGATTTAGGAAAGAGAGAAAATCCTGGGAAAAAAATGGTAAAATTGAAAAATTATTTAATTTTAAGTCCAAACATGAGAAAAGTGGATTATTTTGTTTTAGAAACCCGTTGCTAATTATGAAAAAGCCACAACCGGTGTAGTAGAGCTTAGGTAACGCAAGGGTTGAAAATGCGGACCAAGATCACCAGCAACCTCGTTTCCAGAACGAGAGGAAACCTCGTTCCTAGGTTTGTTGGAAACGAGGTTGAAAGAGACCCATGTAAGAGATCGCATGACGTAACAGGAACCAAGAGTAACCATATTTCGCGTCTTCATAGCCCTTAGCCAGCATAAGCAAATACGAGTAAGATTTGACAAGTTTCTCGCAGAGGCTCGAGAAACTCGATTCAGAGTATGGAAGATTCGACGAACAGAATGGATCCTAACGAGTTTAAGGGGTTTCTCCTTTCTATATCGGATCGATTTAGAGTGGGAGACCTCGAGAAAATGAAATTTCTCCTAGAAGCACATTTACCTGAAGGAACATTGGAAAACGTACAGATGCCGTTTGAACTCTTTCGTCGAATGATGAACGCCAGGTTACTATCTCTTAATAATCTTCATCTTTTGGCTACCTGTTTGCAGTCTGCTGGTCGAATCGATCTGAGCGAGGAGGTGAGACGACTCGAATCAAAGATGACGTTTGCAACAGAAGTTACTGGTAAGCGTAATTCCAGACTCTAGTTTGTTTGCTTTGTTGTTTAGTTGGCTCTCTTTTGACAGAGCTAACGTTTTAGGCCGGTATTATTCACGGGCTTCTCTTTTGCACCCATAACATTCTTCATATTTGCCGGCTGCAAAGGAATATCACGCTACCATGAAGAGATGTCTATAACTATGCCTTAGCCGATATCGTTTTAGTTACAGACAGATTGAAGCAGATTGTTTACTATCTGAGACTCAATATCAATGACCAAACAAACGGCCGCTTGTTGTTTAACACTCCTCAGTATGAGGAAAACAAATGGCTTTATTTGATAGGTATCGCTCCTTAGGGATTGATCTTTGACGTTTCATTCGAAGAAAAGCGGCAGGCACAATTATGTAGTAGTATTACAACAAGAGCGGAAGTTATAACATGGAGGAAATCAACCATCCGTGACGCGGCTAGTGAAGCTAAACTTTGGAATCTTTTTAAAACATGATGGAATTCCTTGATCAAATTTCAAACATGTTCTCTGCAAGGTTGTCTTTTCTCTGCTTTGAGCATAAGTTCCGTTCACAACAGGTACAAGAATTTTGATGTTAGTCCTGCACATGTACAGCTCGGGATTTGCACCCTAAGACAACCCAATTTAGTCCAAACTACCAAAATAGTCTCGGGTAATCTGTTGCATGTTTTAAAATTACGACGAGGAGGAAAGTCACGCGATGGTTATATCGAGTCTTGTATCATTCCAAAGTAAAAAACAGTAATCACTGTAAACGCACAGTTCATAATGTAGAGTTTTTCTGGGAACATCGCACCTCTGATCATGTTTTCCGGTTTGAAAGTCACTCCTTACTCAAATTAAACACAGTGACGTCACAGATAACGACGACCTGAGCGGAAAATTTCACAAACTTTACAAATGATATCCGATCGTTTAGATTATTCAGCCCAATTGATACTGGAGAACTTTCCATAGAATAAAATGTAGAATGTAAAGTCTTTTTTATACTCAATTTAAACCATTCTTATTTATGATTAGCTCCAGTTCTGATATTGAATGGGAAGTTATTTAAGCCGCAAAGTTTCATTAATATGCATTCCTAAGCGAACCAAGAATTTGTTTGACATCCCACAAAAATAATTATAAATGATAATTGAGTGATTTATCACTTTCGTAGCGCTTATATAAAGGATATCTACTCGGAAATCAGGCGTTAAAAGTTCGTAAGATCTCAATTACAGGCTATCCAGATATATTGTTGTCTAGTTAATCTTTGTGTAAATAAGTGCGTAATATACTCTTTCAAATTGAAATAGAACCGCCATAGAAGTGCAATAAATATTGCAAGACACGTCAAAATACAAAGAACAGATTAAAATACTCAGTGGATACTACACATCAGATCGACTATTTATTATCCTGAATGCTCAATTTTATACACTCATTTGAAGTAACTCACGCAAGCGTAGTCAAGTTTTCAAAATTGTCTTCTTACAGTACAAGATAACCAACTGTCTAAATCCTCACAATATGGCAGGATATTTGTACCCTACTTAGTGCAGTTGAACATTTGAATGTTTAATAGCGCCAAATACAAATCTTTTGTCATTTCTACTGCCTCCTTTACGAGGCGAAGCCACATATGTTGTCGAAACGAGTGAGTGATGGTAACAATCGAATTCCGATCTTTACCTTAATTCTCGGTGCTATTTATTGTTTGTTTCATAGTATCTCAGTCGTTCGACATTCGCACTCGATACACAGTTCTCAGTCTTCTTTTGTGATTACTGGGTTATAGCCACTAGCCCATTATGCTATAATCCTTGTTCTTATTGTGGCTACTGCCTCCTATATAATAGGAGGCGAAGCCTATATGTTACGGGGGTAGGTGAGTGCGTGAGTGGGTGATGGTAAGTAACAACAGAACTCCGAGCTTGACCCCAAATTTTATCCCATGTTTACTTCCTACTGCTTTTTTTTTTCTAGGAGTATCTTATTAGTTCAACATTTGCACTCGGTACACATTTGAATTCTCTCGTTCAGTGATCTCAGGCTTATAGCCACTGGTACATTATGTTTCCAGCTCTTGCCATGACACCACAGAAGACAGGAAAAGACAATAAACATCTCACAATCAATTCAGGATTGCGCGCGATTAAAAACAAAACATTTCCTTCCAAAAATATCATTATAGGTGTGATCGGTGCGTCGTGAAACTTGGAGAGAATGTTTTTGTTTAACCAGAGAACTTTTCATCGTTTGAATCAACGACTTATGCCAAAGACGGCCGCTAAATTTGCGAAGCGGGTAGACCCTTTAGTTATTAAACGCAGAAATGATGGAACGGAGAACGGAGAACGGAGGAACGGACGACACGAAATGCTGTTACCAATTAATCAAAACCATGACACAATTTGAGAAAGAAATAAGACATCGGTTGTACGTTTTCTTAAAAAAAACGACAGTTAACTCAGCGAAATGCGAGACAACAGCGCGCGCGCATGACGCATTCTGTCCACTTACACAGGCATGACGTATTAACTGTCCCTTTAACTGTCCTTTCAAACTGTCCAATTACAAGCGTGACGCAAACACTGTCCTAGCAGTCCTCAAATCGGGCTAGTGATAACCAATCGCGTTCAAGAATATTGTTATAGTTTGTTATAGTATTGATACTGCTTTCCTTTTCAGAACAAAGATCCCCGGATGATGCAAATCTTTTCGTGGGAGCTCTTCCGCGCAAGCCATCTCATTTCTACGGGAGGGAAGAAATGCTGAAAGAAATTGTCAGAGTTCTCAGTGAATGGAACGGCAAGCGACTCGTAGTCATAACCGGTTTACCAGGTTATGGAAAATCCTGTTTGGCGCAAAGAATCGGTCATACGATGAAGGAGAATGGTTTCCAAGTCATCTTCCTATGCTTACGAGAAATCCGATCTGTCGGTAAAATGTCAGCCAAGATTCTACGCGCTTTAAAAGCAAATGTTGGTCAAGGACTGATGAATAACCCGCATGAGCTGGCACTGTCGTACTTAAAATCTCTCACCACAAGAACAACTCTTATTCTTGACAACGCTGAAGACCTCATTTGTGACGAAAACTCAAAGCAGGAGTTTTATAGTTTTGTGAACCAAGTCGCTCAGTTTGCAGGCCAAGTAAAATGTGTCATTACCTCAAGAGTGGATTGTCCTGCTTCTTGTCAAACCCCGCGCCACTCGGTAAAACTACTCGTCCTTGAAAACGATGCCGCAGCGAAATTGCTTCAAGAAAAGGTTAAAGAAACTGGTTGTTTTCTTGAAGACCAGCAGGCTAAAACTATAGCACAACTCTGCTTTAACATTCCCCTGATCTTGCACGCAGCCGCTGCCTACATGGAAGCCATCCCCCCAGAGACACTGATTCAAAGTTTGGAAAGTCATTTTGGAGCCATAGAAATTTCAAGCATGGGGGAATTGTTCCCAGAGCTGCAAATGAGGGGCTTTCTCAGTGAATGCTTACAACAGCTTGGCACCGATTTCGAGGAGGACTTGTATTCCTTGGCAGTATTCCCAACGGCATTTAGCTACCAACAAGCCCAGAGAGTATGCTGTTCAAAAACAAGGCTTCCTACCGCTCTGCTTCAACTGGTGAAGAGGTCTCTTGTCCACAGAGAGTTACATTCTAACCACTACTTCGTCCATCAAGTAATTCAACTGTGCTGCAAAGAAAAGGCCAAGACAGACGAGCGATTGCGCGCGTGTTACAGTCAGGCGCAAGCAAGATTTATTGAGAATTACCTAAACTTAATTACCGAGTTACACCAGGAATTCTTGTGCAAAGGTAACTTAGAGAAATCGCTCTGTCGTTTCTGGGCAGAGGAGCAAAACATTGTTCAAGCAATTTGGTGGGCGACAGCGGGAACTACACTCCCTGCTCGTTGTGCAAAGATCCTAAACGAAGCAGTCGTCTTCCTGGCCAAAGTCATGAAGAATGCTCAATTTGAAGAAATCTACGAAGTCGTTTTAAGCGCAACCAAAGGAGACTTACGACTTGTGGCTGATTGCCTGACGTGTGTTGGTATAAAACACATCTACAGTTGTGAATGTCATCGGTCTTGCAGTGTGGTAACAGAGAGAGCCTACAGAGTCTTAACAAGAGCGCTAGAAATCTACGAGAAGCTTAACCTGACAGAGGGAGAGCTTGTTGCACAGTGTTACAGCAAGATCGGACGCTGCATGGCCAAGAATGGAAATCCTTCCCGAGCTCTCGAACTGAGCGCAAAAGCTCTCGCAATTAGAGAACAGAGGAGACCGGACGAGCCATTGAAGTATGCAGCTTGTTGCAACGACCTGGCAGGTAGAGTAGGCTTAACAGTGTTGCCGATTAAAAAACATTGTTTTTCGTCAAGAATGTAGATGGAAACTTTAAGAACCAATTAAAAAATCTGTTGCCAATCCAGAGGCAAGTCAAGTATTTGGCTGAGATTTATTACCTAGCTACACCAGGATATGTTAAGCTAAGAAAGGAGCAAAACTTTGTTCAACCATTCGGTGAGCTGCAGTAAAAGGGTTATTTCGTTCTCATCTCTTCTCATAGGGAAAAGGTTTTCAAAAATCAGTTATCTTCCTGGCCAAAGTCCTGGCTATAGTTTTGGCCAAAGAGGGCTTTATAGCTAACATTTATTGACAGTTATTCAAAATTTCGAAGGCACTGTAGCTAGGAAGATAGCTGCTTCCCACCAGTTGGATTTTTTAAATACAAAGTTTATTTCCAATGTCTATTTACAATTTGATTACATTACATTACATAGGGCCTAGGTGAATATTACTTAGTGTTAATCTGGTTTACCCCAGAAAAGTAGAGTATTCATAATTGTTATTATTAACATTATTTTTATTGAAATTATAATTTTGATCCATTAGCACATCAAGTTTTTGCTTGGCAAAGGCCAGAATAACCCACGACATATAATTTTTTTTCCTCTCTCTTTTCCTTCCAATAGTTGTTCAAAGCTGCTTAAACAACCACCTTGGAGCCCTAGCTCTCAGGGAACAAGCCCTTAGTGCTTACGTTGAAGAACTAGGGGATCATCCATTTACCGGAACGCTCTACAACTATCTAGGCAACGATTGCCTTGCACTAGAGAACTTCGATAAGGCCGTCGAATATTTCACCAAGGCGCTCAGTATCAGGGAGATATTTCTTGGCTTTTACCACCAAGAGACTGCCCGAACATATCACGACTTGGGTCTTGCTTACAAGAGGAAGGTGAGTTAAACATTATTGTAGGTGTGCGTTATATATACTGCAGTTTAAAGACTCTGGTTTACTGCAATCACATCCGTGGTATTCAAGATTGAGACCTTGACCCTGGCTCTGCTACTTCGCACTTTTTTTTTTCTTTTTTTTGGAGGCCGAGATAAGATATGTATTTCAAACGACCCTTTCACTCTTAAGACTGATCTCATTAGCAATTATCCTTACTGTCTGCCATACAGTTTTTCTTAATGTTGGTTCGAAGAATTTGGCATTGATAAATTCTCTTTATTCTCATCACTTTCCTGCTTGATATAGCATTAATATTGTCATGAGAAGTGCTATCTTGGTCACTCATGGGTTGCAAACAGGAGGAAAGAAACTGATCAATTCTCACCATTGTTTCTTCGACAGCAAGACGCACCCTGAAAACGCACTCTGATACATTTCACCTGATCCTGCGCGAAGTTCCATCATATGTTTGAGTCTGAGACTTCTTTTCTACCTCTTTTTCAGGGAGATTATACAAAAGCCATGGAACAACTGGACGCGGCAGTCACGATCCAAGAAAAACTGTGCGATGTACCCCATGAGAAACTCAAATCTCTTCAAGAGAAGAGGGAGATCTACTCATGTCTGAATTTAACCGACTCAAGCGCTCAGGAGCTACAAAAGAAGTTGGAACAGTGTCAGGAGGAGATGACTCGAGCGAAAAAGGTCAATAACGTTAGATTGGAGAGAATTATGGAAATGGCAAACAACAACGGAGTTGATTTTAGCTGAAAAGTTAGCAGTGTTACTTCAATATGATGTAACTGATTCTTAACATGACTGACTCCACCGACTGAACGAACATATTACTTCAGACACGTCTGTTAGTAAAATAAGGTAACTTGGAAAAAAACAATCAGTTGTAACTGGCCATGCCAGAGAGGTGGGGCGAATCTGTTACTTTGAGTACCACTGTCAACAAAATAAGTGTAACCAGAAAAAAACGAAAAACAAAAAACTGAAACCTCAGTATCGTTAACCATTTTTTAAGTTGATTACTCGTTTACATTTAACGGCATTTAAAGGCATTTTACTGATTACCTGGGATTAGCACCAAACACGTTACATTTATAGGCTTGAAAAAATCCGTGTGATATCTGTTCATGAATAAAAATGTGTTAACTTAGTGACTAAGACAGGTTCTCCTTACATTATCGTCCAAACATCAAGTATACAAGTGATGAAAATAAAGAAAATTATCAATTAGTTGATCATTGGTTGAGGCAAAACCAAATTCTCCGAACTAACATTACAAGAACCGTAAGGCAGACAGTAAGGAGAGTTACTAATAAGATCTTAGGAGTGAAACATACCCTTTTTGTTACCTATAGATCGTACTATGCTATAACCAGACCTAAAGACGTTGGACTCCTAAAAGGATCTGATTGAAAACTGATCATTCTCATTCTAAACGACTCACATGAAAAAGAAAAATGAAATAATTTGGTGTCAATTAGATAAAGCTTCTGCGGCCGATTGCGTCCTTTAATCTCATTACCTTTGTATTCTTTGCCAGTCACATCTTTTAGGTAATCAAACACAACTTTAAAGAAACGAACACGGTTTATTGCTTGAAGACGCGTGTGCGGCGATTCTGAGGCCATCCTTGGTTGTTATAAAACAAAAATGACACGGAGTTTGAAAATCTAAGAGTTTGTGTCAACTATAACACACATAACATACCCCTTATTCAGTTCAACTCTATTATAACCATTGCTTGACAAGCAATGGCTGATGAATAAATTAGCTGCATGAGTCAGCAGTACAAGTGTTGGGCAGAAAACTACCAATATTCTCAGCAATTGTATATCACACAAAAGGAAACTGTTGGGGGTTTCGTTTCCTTCCTTAGTCCACATTCTTTTTAAATGTATAAGATGATGTAGGGAACGGTTACAAATCTACCTGTCATGGGGTTTTTCCTTTCCCTTGACAAAACCTCCCGGCAATGCAAGGCTAATCCTTGTTGAAAGATCCATGGGTGCAGCATGCAGATGGAGACGATTTAAAATCACGTGGGGAAATGAAAAGCCGTATTATAGGATTGCCTTTTTATATCTAATTCTTGATGAGCGTGGAAAAAAAGATTTCCTAAATTTGTGTTTCCCTTTTTTAATTTTTAGTGGCCGGTAGATCAAATCAACCGCTATGATCAGCGAACGTTCTCCACGTATTCGGAATATACAATTCCAGAACCTGTCTGGGTCACTTTCTCAGTAGATCAGATGTCAATATATTTTCTTACGTAGCCTGAGAAACAACCAACATTTTTGTCCTTTCAAGACATTTCTCAAACGTTTTCACACGTTAAAGATTCGGAGGGAATTAGCCCTTCTTCTGTTGACTTGAAACCATAAATTTGATAATACCTGATTGGTTAAACTCTTAAGTGAATGTGGGCAAACCCTACTTAGTTTTTTCATTTTTACTGATTTGAAGAGTTGCGAACAGTTAATCAGTCCACGTCATTGGAGAGATTCGAGACAAAATTTACACGCACTCTTACTAAATGTTAGACGTGGAAAGATAATTTTTAAGCCAAATGCATTCCCGAAAACACACCCTAAGCATTTATTAAACAGAAACTGCACAATAATTCTGAAATACTCGTTAAGAAATACGTTCTGTTATTAGCCGGGGCAGTTCTCTGAAATCCATTTCATTGTATTTTCTTAACAAGGCAAAGATGGAAAATTCTGTACAATCGTGTAGTCGATTGCCATATCCCATCAATGCCAACACCCAAATATCATGGGATCTAAAAAAAGTATCATTATTGGAGGTTTAATGTTTACGGGATAAAGGTCGTGGCTACTGCTGAGTCCGTTGGTGGCTTTGGTTTGCTCGCCATGGTTGTGTTGCATCTGTGAGTCCAATGATTGCATCACAAGCCCACTGTTTCACAGCCGGGCCGGGCATTGATTCATGTGAAAGAGACAATTTCCTTTTCCTGGTGTTTTGATACCTCCTACTGAATCATCATATTCTCTCCTCCACCCCAAGAGTTTCATAGAAAAACACACACTTCTGTTGACTTTATAAATATTGGAACTATGTAAAAATAACAATTCTAGTCGAGACGCAGTAGGCACTGTTCTTTTCAGAGAGATCTGACACTCTTATCCCTGGCTGGAAATAACGTTATGACCTGTTTTTGAACCCAAGGAAGCCTCTGGATCACATGCATTGTTTACCACTAAACATTTTCCAACTTCTCGTGCCAAGTGCCCCGAGGAATAAAAGGATCAATGTCGCTTGAAACCTTCAAACCTCGTTTTGTTTTCCAGCCCTGTTTAAGGCCACACACCTTTTTAATCAGTATTTCGAAGGAATATCAGCCCAGTCTAAAGCTTCCAGCGATCACTCTAAAACATTCAAAACTTGTAAGACCATTAACAACGTACCATATTAAGGGGAAGGGGTCCCTTCCCTTCCAGACTAAAATCAAGCCAAAGGAAGGCAATGGAATTACTTGAGACGTGCTAAAATTTAAACAACGTTGCAGTAATGTCACAAGTTACAAAATGCTTTTATTGATGAGGAGTCTAGACAGTTGATTGAAATACGTCGTTACAATTGATAATTACCAAAACAACGATATCGATTACCTTCATCTGAGAAACAACGGTGTGTCAACACTTTGATCATACTGTTGAAGTTGGCGGATGAAAATTGTTACTCCATTCTGAAGAACAATCATTGAAAAAAACAATAAAAAGGTTAGCGGAGACCCATAACAAAGAGGCACATTTCTAGCTTACATCGATGACGACCTTTTACATAAAATTCAGTTTAAATTCTAGTACAGGTCTTAATTTTTTTTTCAGGCCTTATTTTCACTACTGCTCAAGTAGTGTTTATTACTGCGAAGATCGCTTTCATATTCACGTCTTTATCCGCAGTTCACACATATAATTTTCATATACTCACAATCAGTTATTCATCACTTCACGGGTATATTTAGAGCCTACATAATGACCGGCGCCCAGTTGGCTAGTTAGCTCAGTTGGTAGAGCACTTCACCGGTATCGTAGAGGTCATGGGTTCAAATCCGTACAGGCCTGAATTTTTTCCAGGCCTCACTTTCACTACTGCATGAGAAGTGTTCATTACTGCGATGATCGCTTCCATACTTCCATACTTCCATACTCACGTTTTAAATTCTAGTCTTAGTGGTAGCTGTTACCTGCCATGGGTAACTGAAATATAAATGTAAAATGTGATGTTAATAGAATTGAAGTTAGCCTGCAATGCAGCTGCCGTAAAAATCAAAGATGGTAGCTATAACTTTCACCAAGAGAACACTTCGCAATCGCTCGCCAAAATTGTGCCTGCTCTGAAAGCAAAATTGAACCATATTCAATATGGTTACATCGCCTTCCGGCTTAAATTCAAGCGGATATTTGGTGTAATTGATGAAGTCTCTCCCTCAACATTTAAAGCGAAGGATTCTTCCTTTAACCTGTTACAACTGAATAAAAATTTTTTTGTCCAAACGACAGACTTTATATGCTTTTAAAACGCAAGATCGTCAGTGCCTCAAGTTATTTGAGCTCCAAGTGTCGTAGGAATCGAATCCCGCTCGCTTAAACTGTAACTGAACTAAACTAGAAAGAGCTAAGAACTATATACAGGAACTAAAACCCGCCTAACTCAAACACCTTGTTATCGCCTACTGTTTTGGAACCGTTTCCCCTTGGCAGTTCAACAATGCAGGATAAGTTAATTATTCTATCGTGTTTAAGACTTTTAAGCATTTTTCAGCCCAATCCCTTCGTAGCTGGCAAAATCAACTTCATCCAATTTTCAGTCTGCCAGGATCGGAAAGGTTTTCCTTGTAATAACATCATTATCAAAACTCGAATTCAAGATTGCCGAATTTCCTTCTGGATTTTAGATTAAAAAGTCATTCTCGCAAGGGGGAGTTTTCGAGTAGTTTATGGGTTTTTATGAGCTTGTAAAGTCATAACTTAAGACTTACTATAAGTTGAATTCTCCACAAAATTGCAGTCGGTTTTACCAAAACCTTTCCACTGGATATGTTTTGAACATAAAATAAAAACGCACCGCTCTGGTGGAAAGGAAATACGCACAAAGTACTATTTCCTTTTTCCTTTTTGGAATCATCATGGACCCTTCCCCCTAAGAAGAGCTTACCTGGTGGCTGTGGGGCAGGGGGGTACCTCCTGTAAGCTATTTCTTACGTAATCACCACCTGTTTAAGAAGCCTACGTGAACCTCCTAAGGTGAAGACCAAGACCTTCGTGACAGGCACGTGCATGTTATCCACCAATTTCAGCCAAGCCGCATTTCATTAAAGTCTACATTACAATTTGTAACAATAGATGATCGAGAGCAGAGCTAGAGGGGAGATTATAAGGACATGACAAATTATTGAGCAGGAGTAAAGACATTGCAGGTATTGTGTATGGGTTTTCTTAACGATACTGATTTGATAGCAGCAGACCACAATCGGTAAAACAATCTATGCTCAAGAAAAGAGCAAGTATTGGCTAAGTGACATTTGGAAGCTTATCAATTTCTTAATCTGTCGCAGGAGGAAAATCTGCTTGTTGATCAAATCAATCGTGATTTTTCAATCATTTTCCAATGACGTCTAAGATAAACTATCATTGAGTATCATTTAGATAGTACAACTTTTCGTTATCTATTTTAAAGGGGATACCTGGAGCATGCTTTTGAGCTATGCTAATAATTCCTCCTAATTAGAATTTTGCTTATTTTTCGTGTTTAATTATGTGATTTGGCGTGATGTTTTGCCGACTGTAATATTTCATTTCGTAAACAACTTCTTGCTTTAAACTACCTGCACAGCAAGCGCTTAACGGTTTCATTTGCACCTTGCGTAACAACGCGCTGGCTTAAGTAACGCTCTGGAAATATGTACATTTAGTTTGTTTTAGGTGTCGTCCTGTCAACAGAATTACATCGTTTCGCTTATTACGATACTCACTTGGAGCTTGCTGCGTGCATAGCAAGCGCATGGCGTTTTCATTTAGCCGGCCAAATTTAATCATATTTCAGAAATGCACTGAATTTGTTTTCCATGATGGAGATGGGGTAACGAGTTTACCTTCCCGCCGGGACGATTCGCCTCGCTGCTGATATAATCCATTTACCGTTTGCTCCGTAACAAGCGGATAGTATTTTCATTTGGTTCTTGTATAATAAAACGCCGACAAGAGATATTCATTCTCTAGAAGAACAATTTATTGATTCAATTAGAACATATGGGGTTTTCTCTTCTAGGTGTATTTTTATCTTTCGTGTATAATTAAACGAATGGGTGTGGGGTTTCAACGTTGAGTGTGACAAAAAAAAAAAATTTAAAATAACAGATCGACTCCATCTAGCTCTTAACCTTTCCTGTGACCGATTCTTTTCGATCCACTGACGCATTTTTCTCCAAAGAATTTGACCGGAAACAGGTGTAACCATTTGCGCAGAAACACAGAATAGACACTAAGAATGCCACTTCGTTCTTGAAGAAATTTCCAGTTCTTTTTTCCAACCATGTTCATCTCATACAGCT